ATCCCATGTCCCTCCTTTTCCACGCCCATCACCCTAACTCAATACCTTGGGGCTGTAATGATGGCCTTGGCCTTGGAACTGGTAGCCCCAACTCCGGGCCTTCCCCAATCTCATATATCCTCTGCACTGTAATGTGAATTATACTTCCAAAACAGTCTGATCCCATTGTACCTCCGCATGCTCTCTCCTGCTTATGGAATAATGCCCAAACTTCGTACTTGCACTGAAAACTTTCCAGCCTTATCTCCCATCCCATCCCTAGGGCCTCACACACCCCAGGAGCCAGCTATGCTGGACCAAGTCCTATCTTTTTTCCCATCTTTGGGTCTTTGGTCTGGAATGCCCTTCCTAAGTCCACAATGTCTGCCAATGGCAACAGCCACTACTTTCCATTTGGTAAGTCACATGTTACTATAAGCTGGGCGCAAATCATCCCATTTGTAACTGTATCATTCCACTGCAGCTTCACAACCACCACATTTACCAACGAGGAAATGGAGGATTAGAGACAGACCTAATGTGGTGCTTTTAAAATATGATCTATGTCCACATATTCTTTGATACTCCTCCCTTCATAAGACGGCACTTAATTATTCTCCCTTCAAATATGGTACTTAGTGTCCTGCTTCTAATAGAATGTGGTGGAAATGGAGGTGTTTGACTTCCAAGACTGGGTCATAAAAGGCACCATGGCTTCCTTCTTGTGCTTGAGCGTTTTCACTCTGAAGGGAGCCAGTTACCGCGCCATAAGGATAATCAAGCAGCCCATGAAAAGACCCACATGGGGAAAATCTGAGGCCTCCAGCCAACACCCAGCACCATGTCTATGTGCCATCCCGGAAGCAGAAGCTCTAGTCTCAGTTGAGCCTTCAGATGCCTGCAGTCCCTGAGACATCATGACTACAACCTCATGGGAGACTCTGAACCAGAACCACCCAGCTAAGCTGCTTCCAAATTCCTGACCCACAGAAACTGTAAGATAAATATTTATTACTTTAAGCCACTAAGTTTTGGGGCAATTTGTTACACAGTAATAGATAAATAAAACACTCGCCCAAAGTCATACAATCAGTAAGTGGTAGAGTGGAGATTTGAATACTGGTTTGTCTGTCCTGAAAGTTCATGCTCTTAACCCCAACTCCATACTGCCCAAAGTCCTACTGTAGTTTATCTTTTGCTTCCTTTAAAAAGCCTTGACAGAGACTCCCCCTCGAGATGCATTTTCGTCCAATCTGTATCTTTAAGCCGTACTTACAATGTCCATCCTTCATGCTCCTGCCCCAATAATCACCGTGTTTGTCCAAGACCCATCTTACTTCATTGTCAACTTCCTGGCTCTATGCTCTCAGCTTTAGTAGCTACGTCCTAATGTTTTTGCAAAGATTAAATGAGATAATATGTGTAAAAGCACTTAGCAGAACAATGGCTCAATTATACTATTTATTGTTTCCTAGATGCAGCATTTTCTGCCTTATGGATGGATGACAGCTTAATCCTGGCTGTATATTAGAATCACCTAGGAAGCTTAAAAAAAAAAAAAAATACCAGTGCCCAGGCTATACCTGAAGATTCTGGTGTAATGGGTTCTGGGTAAAGCCAGGTACCAATATTTTTCCAAAGCTCCTCAGATGATTCGAAAGTGCAACCAGGATAGAAAACCACTGGATTAAATCAGGGTTCTCAACCAAGGAGGATTTTGCCTCACCCATCTTTGGTGACATTTGCCAGTGTCTGGAGATATTCTTGATTGTCACAACTGTAGAGGGGGAGTGATACTGGCAGCCAGTGGGTGGGGCCTAGAGATGCTGCTAAACATCCTACAATGCATAGGTCAGCTCCCTACAACAAAAAGTGATCTGGTCCTAAATGTAAATAGTGCTGAGGCTGAAAAAACCTGGATTAGATATTGTTTCCTAGCTCCCACTCTCACTCCCCTTAAGAACTTTGGTTCCTACTTGCTTCTCTATTTCTGCTCAAGACTATCCTTGAGAAGAATACAGCATCTGAGTTCTTGCCTCTCAGGACCGAATCCGGGCACACAGCTTGGCCACTGCCCCAGCTGGGCTGGCTCCAGGCCTGCAGGGCGGGCACGTGGATGGTCTCATGCTTCCCCATTTCCCCTCAGTGCTTTGTTAACATTTGGATTACAACACTCACTACAGAGACTAGTTGTAAACACATCTCTCACTGCAAGGGCCAGAGCCATACTTCATTCATCTCTGTTCTTTCCCCAGTACCAAGTTCTGTGCGCTTGAGCTGGGTAGTTGCATCAAGCGAATTGGATCAGTATCATTCTAATTTTTATCATGCATCTGGGCAACTCTTTGAAAGGCAGTGGAAGCAGAGAACACAAATGCCAGTTAAACTAAGAGCTCTTGGGTTTCTGTTGATGGGGAGCGCAAGTGAAATGACTGCTACTGCTACCTTAGAGTGTATGTAGAGGAGCTGCCGGTAAATGTCAGATGCCGTTTTAAATTAAGATATTTGCACAATAAATGACCAGGGATTTGAGAGGATTCTCATTTAGAGAAGTTCTCTTATTTTTAAGATTCTTTGTCATTGGTTATTACAAGTGGGAAAATGTTTCATTTTCAACACATAGCAGCAACTTGGAGAATGATACTGAAAAAAGTCTTGTCTTAGAAAAATACATGCAAATCAATAAATTATGGGCCTTTCATTTCATAGCAGACAAAATTAGGCACAGGTGTAGAAGCTAAATAAGGTTTTCCAATATTGCTCTTCTTTCAAAGTATAGTCTCAGTTTTTTTTTTTTAAAACTGGTAATATCCAGGGGTTTTTAATTCTCAAAATTGAAAAAGTCAGCCAAGAGTCTATTGAACTTGGCATGCTCAAGGAGGGCAGATTTAAGCAAAAGATGTGACATTTGAGGCCTAAGTGTCTAATTGAAGGTCTTCCACTCTGTTTAATATGTGACTTTGTAAGTCTCACTTGATTTCCTTGGGCCTCAATTTCCTGCCATTGTTCTGACGCAGGGCTGGCATGGAAATATTTTCAAAGTAACAGGCAAAATATATTATTTTTGCTAAATTGAGCTCTCTGTTCTTCCACCTATGGCTTAAAATAGCGGAACACTGCTTGACTGTCATCCTCTAAGTGAGATGTTTCCTGACTACTCTATATAAAATTAAGCCCCCTCAATATTCCATGTATTCCTCCCTCTCTGCCTCCGGCATGCTAGCTAGGACTACAGGCATGCACAACCACGTTCAGCTAATTTTAAAATTTTTTATAGAGGTTGGGTCTCACTATATTGTCCAGGATGGTCTCAAACTCCTGGCCTTGAACTCCTGGCCTCAAGTGATCCTCCCACCTTGGCCTCCCAAAGTGCTGGGATTCCAGGCTTCAGCCACCATGCCTAGCCTCTGCTTTATTTTTCATAGCACTTAACTTATTTACTTATTATCTGTTATCTCCCATTAGAATATAAATTCCATGAAGGCAGGGATTTGGAGCTATTTTGTTCACCACTCTATCTCAAGTACCTGGAATGATGTTTGGCACATAGTAGTACTCAATAAATATTTCTTGTATGAATTACTGTATTATGCAAATCTAGAAATGAAATATACTATAAAGCCATCAAAAGGCATGAATTAGGTGTAATTGAATCAACATGGCTATATCTCAAAAGTACATTTTTGGGAGCTGGGTGCAGTGCCTCACTCCTGTAATCCTAGAACTACAGAAGGTTCAGGGGCGAGGGCTGCTTGACGCCAGGAGTTTGAGACCAGCCTGAGCAAGAGTGAGACCCCATCTCTACAAAAAAATAGCAAAGTAACCTGGGTGTGGCAGCTAATGCAGGAGGATCACTTGAGTTTGAGGTTGCAGTGAACTACAATGACACCACTGCACTCTAGCCCAGACAACAGAGTAAGACTCTGTCTCAGAAAAAAAAAAAAGTATCTATTTGGATTAAATGAGAGCAAACTGTAGAATAAGACATAAATTTCCTCATCTGCAAAATAGGACTGGTAATAATAACATTGTTATGAGGAACAAATTAGTTCATTGGTGCAAATGCTGAGAACAGTGATAAAGGTGATCAGTAAACATCAACTGTCATCATCATCATCACTGTTACATCATTGACAAAAAATAGCTCAGACCAAAGATTACTACTAATTTTATATGATATAAACTAATTTCATATAGTTAAATAACTAATTTTAGGGGGTTTTTTTGGTTTTGTTTTTTTGAGACAGAGTCTTACTCTGTCGCCTGGCTAGAGTGCAGTGGCATCCTCATAGCTCGCTGCAACCTCAAACTCCTGGGCTCAAGTGACCCTCCTCCTGCCTCAGTTTCCCGAGTAGCTGGGACTAAAGGCATGTGCCCCCATGACTGGCTAATTTTTTCTATTTTTAGTAGAGATGGGGTCTCACTGTTGCTCAAGCTGGTCTCAAACTCCTGTGCTCAAGCAATCCTCCTGCCTCGGCCTCCTAGAGTGCTAGGATTACAGGCATGAGCCACCATGCCCGGCCCAAATAACTATTAAATTTTAAGAGCTCTGGAAGGATGCACTGTAGACTGAACTGATTACTTCTGTGTGGGGAGGAGACCCAGATTAGAATGGTCAAAGAGAGATTTAACTTCGTCTGTCATGTTCTAACGTTACAAATGGAGAATTGATGCATATAACTAAAATTCAATATTTAGAAAATTTAGTCACAGTTCCTGAGACATAATGACCTTCAGAGAGAAAGAGAAAGCAAAAGAGAATGGAGAGAAACATTACTTATGCTAAGAATTTTTTTTCAGTTTTCTATTTTATTTCTGAAGTGCTTCTTGAGTGAAATTATTGGCATAGATAGGATGAGCTTAGACTAGGCTAAAAATAAGCAGAGACAAGAGCCACAGATATAACTGACCCAGGGTCCTGGATGGATCACATGAGTTAGTTCTCTTAGATTGGAGAAAACTATCATTAACACAATCTTAAAATTAGGAATAAATTACTCAAAGCCTTGTGTTGTACTTACTGGTCCTTTAGCCACTCCTTCACAAACGGAATGGAGAAGAATTCTGTGAACGGCTCCCCTATCCTCTTTGGATTTTGGCTGGTCACGATGCCATATGTTTGATTGACAAGAAAACAATAAGTAAGAATTCAAGTCAATTGTTGCTGTGCTGCTTGCAAATGACGCTATTGAATCCTTAGGGTCATTGAATATTCAAAGACATGAACAACTCACTTGTATAACCACTCCGTCAGAAAATCACAGGCAATGAATTTGGTTCTTTTCCTCTAAAGAGAGAAGAGATAATTAAATTACACTTGACCCTTAAACATCATGGGTTTGAACTGCTCGGGTCCACTTATACGTGAATTTTTTTCAATAAAAGTCACAACAAGTGTGCCTGTCTCTCTTCCCTCCTCTGCCTCCCCTTCCTCTTCTGCCTCTGCCACCCCTGAGAGAGCAAGACCAAGCCCTCTTCTTCCTCTTCCCTCCTGCTCAGCCTACTCAAGGTGAAGATGATGAGGATGAAGACCTTTATGATGATCCACTTCCACTTAGTGAATAGTAAATATGTTTTCTCTTATGATTTTCATAACATTTTCTTTTTTAAAAAATACAGTGAGCTATAATGACACAACTGAACTCTACCTAGGGCGACAGAGCAAGACTCTCTCTCAAAAAAAAAAGAAAAAGAAAAAAAAGTTATATGTATTATAGATTATTTTTTGAGACACGGTCTCATTCTCTGTTGCCCAGGCTAGAGTGCAGGGGCATGATCATAGCTCACTGCAACCTCAAACTCCTGAGTTCAAGTGATCCTCCTGCCTCAGCCTCCTGAGTAGCTGGGACTACAGGTGTGCCATCATGCCCTGATAATTTTTCTATTTTTTGTATCGTCAGGGTCTTGCTATATTGCCTAGGCTGGTCTTGAACTGCTGGCCTCAAGTGATCCTCCTGCCTTGGCATCCCAAAGTGCTGGGATTACAGGGTGAGCCATGGTACCCAGCCTATATGCAGATTTTTGACTGTGCTGGAGTTTGGCACAGGGTCAACTGTACATTCCTACTTCGCCCATATGTCTGAGTAGGACAAGGGAAGGGAGGTTAATTGATTGCATGCATAAATATGCATGAGTCCTTTATAAGCTTTATAAGCACATCAACAAGCAGTAACTCGGGCAATGTAGGGAATTCTGAAGACATCTCTTCCAGTCCTCTTTTGATAAGCACGTTTTCTGAGAGCCACAGGACTAATAAAAGGCAGTGCTCATAGTGGGGGCTTATTACATGCTTTTGGCATTGTCTTAGAATGATTTTGTAATTTAAATCTAGACCATGATTCTCTTTTCTGACTAACTGCATTGCTTTCCCCAAGTCCATCCAAATCCTCAAAACAGCAGATCTGGGTGCTACCTTCAAATTTGGGCACCCAGCACACAGGTGCCACTGGCAGTGTGGCTAGCTGTGCACCCAATGTCCACCCTCCACTTCATCCTTATTAACAGAAACCTGATTGCTTCCAAATGGCGATCAGCTCAGCCAAAGAACTACATTTCCCAGGCTCCTACTAGCAAGGGACTGCCATGTGCCAGAGTTCTGTCGCGGGAGACAGAAATAGACATATCCTAGGGATTTCTGACAAATTTCTACTTTTCTGATTTTGGCTGCCCCTTCTTCCTTGAAGTTTCCTTCCACTTCTTCCGGTCTGGGACACAGATGCGAGGCTGCAAGTGCAGCAGGAGTACAAGGAGCCTGGGCCTTCACTGACTTCCTTAAGCTACTACACCAGCTTGGGCCTGCCCTACTCTGGACATCTTAACACATAAGGAAAACGAAACTTCATTTGGTTCATTACCACCATTCTTGAGTTTTCATTACATGCAATTGAAGGTAGCCCCTAGGTGACAGATATCTGGTAAGCCACAAGGGACAAAACACCCCAGAGTGATGGGGGAGAAGACGTGCAGAGAAGGGCAATGAGGCAGAGCGCCGGGTATCCTGTCTTCGGTTTCCATTTAAATCTCTTTTTGAAACCCAAAGAGAACCAGTTAGCTCCTTGGAGAGAATTGTTATGGATTCTGGGAGAAAGAGAGTCCCTGCCTCTCATTTTAACATGGCAGGCTAAGAACCAAGGCAGTCTAGAGGTGTTGGTTGCCATGCAGAGGGCTCCTTCCCAGAAGCAAGGCAATACAAAGTACTCGGGGAGCTCTCTTTGCCCCTCCAGAACCACCCTTCTCTACCCACAGTGTGCTTCAGGGGGCTGATTTTAGGGTACATCAGTCAGGCTCCTTTACCCTCTAGTTGGGTCCAACTGATGTGAGATACCACTAGGAGATCAGTGAGATGGAGGAGAAAAAGGTGGCGTGTCAGGGGTTGTGTCACTCCAAAATCCGCATGTTGAAGTCCTAACCCCCAGTACCTCAGAATGTGATCTTATTTGGAAGTAAGATTAGTGCGGAAGTATTAACAATTAGTTAAGCCCAGCCACTCCTGAAAGACAAAGCAGCTCCAATAAGAGTGAACACATTTGGGGTTCCACGAACAGGAAGAAGGGAGATGCTGCTGGGTAGACCACCAATGGCAAATTCCTGATGGCACTGCGCTAGGCCCTAGACCCAGCTGTGACTGGAGCCAAAAGTCCCTGAGCCTTTTGGGTTCATAAGCCAATATAGTCAGTTTGCACAGGGTTGTTTATTACTTTTTTGATTAAGCCAGTTTGCATTGGGTTGCTTATCACTTGCAACAGAAAGAGTTTTAAGTATAATACTATTCCTCTCTTCTCCGATTGGCTCACTCCCATTTGTCCAGGAAGCCTTTCTGAGCACTCGCACACTCTTCTGTTTGGGGTAGGATCTGCCCTGGTTTTCTGTGTGCCCCTCTGTCATCGCACCTCAGACCATAACGAAACTGTCTGCCCACATATCCATCTTCCCTACTGAATTATAAACTCTATGAGGACAGGAAACCTGTCTTCCTCTCTTTGTATTCCCAGTGCTTAACTGATCCCATTGCACACAGCAGTTGATCAATGAGTGTGGAGTAAATGAATGAATGAATTCACCATTCAACTCTCAAGCATCAAAGTAGGAACTCATGTGCAAGGATTCTGGTATTCAAAAGTGGGATTTGCTAATATAATTCTGGACAATTTCTCTTTACTTTTCTTCCCACCATATTTTATTATAAATTTTTTCCACCTTTTTTCCCCTCATCACTTTCAAATGGCCAACTCAGCTTTATAATCCCAGATAAGGTTGAAAAGATTGCTGGGAAAATGATGTTCAACCAAAAAGAAAAATGCTCCTTAAGATTTTTTATCGAAAGCTTTATTACAGTTTTTAGTAAATAAAATATAGCAGTGCCTGAGTTGCTGGAGAATATTTGCAATCTTTTATCTCATTGCTTATAGCCTTTTATAAAACAAAATTGAAACACTGCTGCCCAGGGCAATAAAACTGAAAGTAGTAGACCACGTAATGGGGCCTTCGCATCTGCCTTGCAAGGGTAGGATATCCTTCAGGAAGCCATGTTTGACCAAAATAAGAAAATACTTGTACAACAATGCAAATATGTAACTAGCACGAACTGCCGTAGAATAATTTAAACAATCTAGTGATTGTAAGATGGCAGCGTCTCTCTCTTGTCCTACAAAAGGTGCATTGTTTCCGTGGCATTTATCACATCATTTAGTGGTAAAGATTTCTTCTATGAAAGGAAACGCAACTTGACTTACTCTAATAAATAGACTTTAAAAATAGCCAAACGGCCTGATGTATGAAGGTCACGCAGACAGATTTAATCACTTTTGATGCAAAGAAATAAAATGGAAGAAATTGTGTTTTCCTTCTGCTCTGGGCAAGCGTGGACGTGCTGTGCATACCCAGACAGGCAGAACAGTGGGGACATTGTTCAGCTGTTGTTTAGTTTAAAAATTATCTGCTGGGCAACTGAAAGAGAGAAGGAAAAGCAAATGAAACGCTGTGGTGAGTGAAGAGATAAGAGAGGAAGGAAGGAAGGAAGAGAGAGAAAAATTAAAGAGCAAGATTAAGACACTGTGGGTGCCCGAGGTTTACGTAATGTGGACAAATACACTGAGTTCTTGATTGTTAAAGGGTGAAAATGTGCAAGTCTGGGAGAGCAGAGGGAATGTTTAAGGTAGCCTCAAACAAAATTTAAAAAATTTTTCTTTTAAATCTAGAATTAAAAGGAAAAAGACTAAGTGTCAAGGGATAAGACATCGTCATGTCATCATGAGTCTGCAACTTACTCTGAAATGCATCCAAAAACCAAGATGAATAGATAGAGGGACAGATTGATGGACTGGGGGACAGATATGTGATAAAAACAAATAAAGCAAATGGCAATTGTAGAATCTAGGTGGTGGATATGTGGGTATTTGCTCCAAAATTCTCTCAGTTCTTCTATCAGCTTCAAAATTTTTTTATAATAAAATGGGAGGGGGTGCCAGGCACAGTGGCTCATGTCTGTTATCCCAGCACTTTGGGAGGCTGAGGCAGGAGGATCGCTTGAAGCCAGGAGTTCAAGATCAGCTTGGGCAACATAGTGAGACCCTGTCTCTATAAATAATTTAAAAATTAGTTGGGCATGGTGGCACACGCTTCCAGCCACTCAGGAGGCTGAGGCAGGAGGATCACTTGAGCCCAGGAATTGGAGGCTGCAGTGAGCTATGATGATGCTACTGCACTCCAGCCTGGACAACAGAGTGAGAGACCCTGTCTCTAAAAAAAAAAGTAAAATAAAACCAAATTTTAAAAATTAAAATAAAAAAATAAAATGAGGGGGGGTGTTGCAGACAGAGGAGGAGAAAAGTGTAATAAAAAATCCAGACCACAAAGAGAAAAGGCAGAAATTAATAGGGGTTCAATCCAGACAGTATTTTGTACCAACTGTTATGTTGGGTAAACGTATAGGAGACACACAGGAGGACTGAAGGCTGGGAAGAGAAACAACTAGCATTTGAAAGCAACCGAGTCTGCACTGGGTGACCGATAGAATTCCACCCCAGAAAGCTCAAAAGCACATGCTGTGAGTTCAGTGGACTGAGTGTGGCTGGCTATGGCATTGTGTTGGTTGAGAGTCTTTGGGCTTGCAAGGGATACAAATATGCTCAGTTTATCCAACATCTTAGTCCATTTGGGCTGCTATAACAAAAATATCATAAATTGGGTGGCTTATCAACAAAAAACATTTCTTTCTCATAGCTCTGGAGGCTGGGAAGTCCAAGATAAAAGTGCTAGTAGATTTGGTGTCTGGTTCCTCATAGATAG